TCTGCTGTGGGTCCCGACGGGGCTCCTCGGGGGGAGTCGGTTCCGCGATTGCGAGCTTCGAGAGGACCTACGAAGGGGAAGTCCACCTCACCCTGTTGGATCAAGGACCTGGCGGACACCTGCGGGTCAGTCCTCGGCCGGCGTGGAGGCGATGGTGCACCCTGTCAAGCCGAGGGCGAAGCGCATGACCCGGCAGTCGCATGTAGGAGCGGACCGCATCCAGGGAACGTTCGCGCAGGCGGAAGGGATGGCCCACAGGGAGAAAGTCGATCAGGAGATGCTGAATGCGCAGGCCCTCTCGTCGGACCCTTTCCAGCACCTCCGAAAGGCATAGCAGGAGCACGAAGACCTGGCCCAAGAGGAAGATCGACCAGGAGATGCTGCATGCGGCGGCCCTCTCGTTGGACCTTTCACGGCAGGACTCCCTGAAGATGACCGAGCAGGAGCAGGAGGACAATATCCTCGACGCGGACCTGATGGGCACCTGGCCAGCGATGGGGCTCAAGCTGAAGGAGGAGCTCAGGCTGGGCGCGAAGCACATGGTCACCATAAGCCAGGGCAGGGAGTTGCAGAACAAGGGCCGCAGTGGAAGCCATCCCAGGAGGGCCTCGAGATGCTCGCGAAAGCTGTGGAGAGCAAGCAGAACGCAATAGTGCCATGGCGACTGACCAGACAATCGCTGGCAACTCTACACAACTATGTGGAGAAATGGGAGTGCGAGGCGTGTGCCTTCGCCAACTTCGGCTTCCGTCTGGAGTGCAAGCAATGCCTGGGCCTGGCTCCACGGGCAACGCTACTACAGCAGAAAGAGCAGCAGGAGGAGCTGAGGCAGCGCTGGCCCGAGTACCTCGAGGCAGACTGCTCCGCAACGGCTGCCCCCTCGAACAAGGACGACAAGAAAACTAAAACGAGGAGAAGCTGAACAAGGAGAAGCACCACTAGGAGACGAAGCTCGCAGTTCAGCCGATCGCCAAGACGAGGCAGTGGCAGAGGCAGAGCGCATGAGCTGGTGTGCGGATGACAGCTCCTGCCGCGACGCCGACGACGACAGTAACCAGCTCATGCGCTGGTGGGCCGATGGCAATCCACTGGACGTCGGAGGCCTGACCGAGGGCTTCGGGGACGCCGAGGTGATGGACATCGCGACCGTCGTTGGCAGCGAAGGTGCTGAATGTTACGGCGTTCTGGAGGATTTGGACAACCAGGGGCTCGACGTGCCACCTATCCCGAAGGGCAAGGGCCAGGGCATGAAGGGCAAGGACAAGAAGCGCAAGTGTAAGGACAAGGTCAAGGGCAGCCAGGGCAAGTTTGACCTCGCTTCACTCCCTGACTAGGTGCTCAAGGAGTATGCGGTCAAAAGGTTTGGTTCCTGGGCTGAGGCGCAGCGGCTCATCAAAGCTCGGGGGCACTCCCAGAGCTGACGGCCTGGCCGCGGACCTTGAGCCGCGCCTCGGGCCGCGCGTGGCGGCCTGGCCGCGTCCTGTCGCCTCGGTCTAGGTTTGCCTCTAATTGTGTACGCTTGTGTACGCTGCCATCGGGTGCATTTTCCTCGTCGTGGTGGCTGGATCCGCCTCATGGTTGTGGGCTTCCATCAGGAGGCGTCTGGGGCCGGTGCTCCTCGTCGCTGTGGTGGTTCCCCTCGGTTTTCTACCTGCCATTGGGCGGGTCTCCCAGGCGTCCCTCGTCGCACGCTGGATCTTTCTCGGAACGCTGGACCAACGGGCTCGGCTCTGAGGCCGCGGGGGCGGCTTCGCTTAGGCCTGCGTGCCAGGGGTCCATGGTCGAACCCGTATCATCAGACGCCTCAGACGCCTCCTCCTCCGCCTCTTCCTTCTCCTTCTCCTCCTTTTCCTCCTCCTCCTCCTCCTCCGCCTCCTCCTCCCTAACCCCCCTCCCTAACCATCCGGCTTCTGTCCCCTCTTGCATCCTCCCACTCCTGCTTTTCAAATCCAGCATACTATCATCATCGTCATCAACGTTCTACGCGGTATACATCGTCAACCTCATCCTCATATCCCTCCTCATCATTATCCGCGAATTCCTCTTCCTCCTCCTCCTACACGTCATCATCCGCCTCGTTATCCTCATCGTCCTCCTCCTCCTCCTCCTCATCCTCCTCCTCCTCCTCCTCCTCCTCCTCCTCCTCCTCCTCCTCCTCCTGATCCTCGTCACCAGTATCCCTCACATCGTCCTCCTGCTTATGGCTTCCTCGTCCATTTCTTTATCCTCAACAATACCCCCTGTCATCATCACATTTCGCCCTCAGCCCATCCTCCTCAGCACCCTTGTCATCCTCTCGCGTTCGTCATCCAGCTCCTGTTCGTCATCATCCGTCCGTCTGCTCATGAACCTGCCGTTTCATCATGTTCCTCATCCCTCGCCTCTTTATCATCATCGCCCTCCGCCCTCACGTATAGACAACCACCTCCCACTACTCATCGTCCTGGTCCTCGTTTTCACGATCCGCTATTCGTCAGACCTTGCCCCCGGCTCTCTTCCT